AACCCCAAAACCCCAAAACCCCAAAACCCCAAAACCCCAAAACCCCAAAACCCCATTGATCTAATCTACTCATATTTCAAGTTATAAGAAAATTAATGAAATTAAGGGTCAATCATCTCTTAAATATTTCACTTAATTTCTGGAAGAATTTATCTTTCTAATACCTGAGCTTATTGATTTTCCTGTCTTTAGTCATTTCACTTTAATACTTCTCCCATATTGGCCCTATTTGATTAACTCTTGCATTTTTATCTTCATTTTAAACAACCTTAATCATCCTCTCATAATTTATAGAAAATTCCTTGATGTTTTCAGTGTCTAATTTCTTATACTAATCAGTAAGTATTGCAAATCCCTCCTTTGCTAAAAACTTATTAAAAATATTCACTTTCTTTACTCTACTTAAAAACCCATAAAATAAATCAGTCTACCCCTCAGCCATATAACCCTAGATTTCATTATCTTTAAGCGACAAATGAATGTATTGACAACTCTTAAATATCTAATGATCTTTTCTTTATATTTCTTTGACACATCTCTCTATTAAAGGGTATTCGAAACCCGAAAATTTAAACTGCATTATCTATGCGTCTCTACTTTAGCTATCAATATTTTTTATGTTCTAAGTAGTACTTTACTGCTAGGAGTTAAAAATGGGTTAATGCACAAAGAGTAAAGTTTGATATCTAGGATCCTTAACATCTAATTGCTTATCTCCCTCATACTAATAAACACCAAGGAATCTAACTCTAAGTTATATCTCCTTGTTCTTGATTAGCATATTTTGTAATTCAACACCTGACTTTATCTTGTTGAATAAAGAAAATTTAAATCTATGATAAAGCTATATTTAAGTAGGGATTGAAATCAAGAATCCAAATACGATAAGATTTAAGTACTGCCTTGCTAAATAATCTTTTGAGTTTAAGTATAAATTGACTAAAAATATTTTTTTCTTTTAGGTTTTATCTAATTAATTATTATCCATTAAAAGCATTCTGATCCCTGATAATAATATTTTGATTTTAAAATTTATAATATAAAGTGATTAAATGGGCTAATTTATAGACAAAGTATGGGGACCTTAATCTCACACCGAATTCTGCAATTAAATTAAGTTTGAGGGGGTAATTCATATTCCTATTTACAATTAAAGTGGCTAAATATTTGCTAAAAAGAAACCGTACCGATTGATGTCTTATCTGATGATGGAACGAGGCACACCTAAAATCTTATGCCGAATTCTCATAATACTTCTACATTAAACCTTGGAGCATCTGGGCAGAATTAAAATAATCTCAGATTAACCATGAAAACTGAGCATTTATTCCAAATGCAGCAAAAATAAGCATCATCTGTTGGTTAGCAATCTAATAAGAGCCCTATAAGAGAAGTTTGGACGTAAAAATTGTAATATGTCACTTTAAAAGGAGATAAACTCAAGTTCTATTCAATGTAACCAGGGCTATAACAAAAAGCTGATGTAAGCAAATACCACTTATGATCTCTGAATTATATAGAAATACAATCATTCGTTTTTAATTTATAGAAAAAATGGATTAGTAGAGATAAATGAAGATGAGCTATCATTTATCCTGCTTGTACAAGATATCGGAGCAAAATTTAGACAAAAGTAAGCACCAATTCTTTTATTATCTTACTTAAACTCCCAACTATTCATCCCATTAATAATATTTTAAATGTCAATTCTATAGGAAGCTGAAATTCACATGCTCAATGCCCTAGACATTTTTAGTTTGGATTGATTGCTTTAAAAAGATTTAAAGACCACAATGGGCTGATAGTGTAGTGCAAGAATGTTATATCTGTGACACACAATTTGGATTGATGAAGCGATAGCATCATTGCAGAAAATGCGGAACTGTAATGAACTAATTTCCTCATTTTCCAAAAAAAATACTATTTTAACAAAAATTTAATAATTTTTCAATAGGCTGTGTGCAAATAGTGCTCTAAGTATTTCTGCTAATTGCCCGAACTAGCATATTATAAAAAAGTAAGAGTTTGCAGAGCTTGCATGGAAGATAAAAAACTTGAAGAGAGAAAGCTATAATGCATTAGGAATTTATAAAAGAAAAGAAATTTAGGGTTCTTTAAATCTACAGCTGACGCCTAGAATAGCAAAAAGTACCAAGGCATTGAAATGTATGACGAGGAGATGGGAGATGAGTAGTAATTCGTTTAAGAGAATTAAAAAGATTCAGCAAAGTCTAAGATTAATAGACCTGTATTCTATGCAAAAGATTCATAGAATTTCAATTCTTTCCCGAATGTGAATACATCTAATAATGGAGTGGTTGATGAAAGCAACAGTTATCTGTATATTCCTTTTGAATAATGAAAAAGAAATATTTTGCTAGTTATCTCATAATTCTTACTTAGTTTGTTTGACTTATTTATTCATCTATTTGAAGTTTGTACTTTAATATTTAAATTTTTTATTTTTTAATTATCAGCTTTGATTGTTAGCCACCGGGGTTTTGGGGTTTTGGGGTTTGGGG